CGTTCAAATATAGAACATGAGTATTTTTAGATTCTCTGATATTAGATTTAGGTGTGCTTGTTCTATTTCGTAAATCAAAGAATTGGCCTATATCTTTGATCTGTGTGTTTAGGTTTTATGGTGACAGATACCCTGTAATAACTAGAAATAGAAATTCCATCTTTAGTGATAATATAGTACAGGGACCTGAGAGGAGAAGGTCTTAAGGTGCTGTTAATTAGCAGAAATCTGAAGCACACAGTCTCAAAGCAATTAAGGCTGTTAATTGACTATTTGGATGCACAGTGGAATGGCTCATATGTTGCTGGACAGGGTACCCTAGGCTTACAGGGAGGAGTTACATTACACACATGATGTTGAAAAATTTAGAAAGATCAAATATGGGTAAACATGTTTGTCTAGTAGTTAACTGCATTTACGAATGGTGATTCACTGTTGGGTATATGCAAAACTGTCTGTTAGCTGCAAAATTCAACATTAACAATTCAGTCTTTCAGCCTGTCTGCTGCAAATATGGCACACTATTTACTCATGGAAAACGGAGTTTTTGGCCATAGCGATTTTGCTGTCCTCTGGTGCGGTAAACATCTCTACAATTCATGTCATATTTAAGAGCTGTTGGTGGTCACTCATGGTTATGAGGTAGCACCTATGTACATTTGGGGGCAGAGGTAGCTGAGCATTGCTGCTGAATGCAGGGTGGCAAAATGATTTTACTATGGAACCATCCACGGGGTCAATTAGCTGCAGCATTTGATTAAGGTGTGAACTTCTAAAAAGAACGCTTAATAAAAATTTCAAGATTGTGCAAAAGATTTCAAGAAAGGAGAAAGCAACAAAATACTCCTTTTGGAAGAGCTTCCGTGAAAAAAGGTTACTGTTTGGGGCAGTGTTTATTATTTTTATAGCTTTCGCTTTAGGATAGACTTCTGTCAAGCCCAGGCCCACTAAAATACAGACGGGAGAGGCTTGTCACTAAAGGGCACCCAGAGGCATTGAGGAAAGGATGCATTTAGGATGATCCCCCACCCCCTCTCAGTCCCAATCCATTTTCTGGAGAAACTTCTAATAGCCTGTGAAGTGGCTTTTTTTCCCTCTTTTTTTAAAAGAAGGGCTGAGCAGGCAGGGGAGCACAGAACCCCAAACCCTCAAACTGAACATCTCCATCCTTACATGAGGAATTAAGCATTCGTAAGGATGGTATGATTTAGGAACCCACTATTCAAACTGCTAAGACATTTCAGTGAGTGCAAAGAGCATATCGAAATAAATTTTACTGAAGGTTCAAATCTGAGCTTATTATGCACACAGACCTTCTAAAAATGTGGCGTTAACCTGCTTCAGGGGCTATTAGCTAAAGTTTTTAAATAAAAGGCGTTGGAGCAGGGGGCTGAAGTCATTAACACTGGATTGGGAAGCTCATTTACGAGGTAACAATGCGACCTTTTTGGATCAGGAAAGTTCCTGTTTGTTATGCAATGTGTGCATTTCATTATTTACACGATTTCATTAGGCTATCCGAGCTGTGTACACAGGCAGGGTCTGAAACTAAAACCAAAACACGCTTGCTTTATTGCCTTTCACTATAATTTTTTTTCATGGAAAAAAAACTTACCTAAATTATATTTACTTCTTTAGATGAAAACAAAAATTTTTTTTGTTAAACGTTTTCAGGAACTATAAATTTCTTGGAAGTTTTTCCATACTCGTTTCCACTGTGTTCCAAGGGCGAATTAAAAAAAAACCCCAACAAACTCAGTAAGAAAGACTCGGAGTGGGGAAAACCTCTTTAGTGTGTTATGGGGTCTCCTGGCCCTCTCTCCTCCCAGGCCCCTTTCTTTCTTTTGCTATTTCCTGGAGTAAGGACGAAAATAAGTACAAGTAGAAAGGCCCTGGCAGGGCCCGGCACACCAGGGTCCTGAGGACAGATCCTGGGTGACTCGCGGGGTTCGGGACTGCA